TGTCACAACTACACACACACACACACACACACAAAATTGCTTGATTTATGCTATCCTATCAAGCAGAAATGAAACTTTCTCATTCATCTTGTTGCTACTACATAGACATCATGAATTTTTTCTAAACATAGCACTCCTTATTTGTTCACTATCATAACTTTGGAATACAAAGAACGTATGTCTAAATGATGTATATTATTACAGGTTGAGTTAAGGCTTGTTGACATTGGTAGAAGCATCAGCTACCTTTCATTCAGGATAAATAAAAAGAAGTAATTAAACTTCAGATATGTAACCACATAGCTGACACAATAAAAGCACCACTAAAACAGAAGTACCTGGTAAGGCTGGGGTAGATGACAAAGTGTGTGAACCAAGAGGTTTACTTGGGCACCAATATAGCAAAAGCAAGAACTAGTACATTGATTGCTGGAATACTTTTTATCTGGGTTTCTGCTGGAGAAAAAAACAAAACAAAACAGAAATTACCTGAGTAGCTTACAGAAAACAGCAAGGACGCATGAGACAGTCATAAAATCTTTCTTATTTTGTAAGCTGTCTGGGCTAAGGATCTTCTTTATGGTGTGCTTGTACAGAGCCTAGTACATGGATTTCCCGGTCCACAAGTAAGCTTTTGTAAGTGCTACATCAATGCAAATAATAAATAAAGATCAGAAGCAGCATTGGCAATATGGCTCTGAGAAACAGTTAAGAGCTTCTGAGCTGTGTAGTGCATGACAAAGGTTGGAAGAGCACAGAAGCTGTCTTGTATCTGATTTCTCTACTGTGCAGAGAAACAGGTCTTTGAACATACTTTCTAAATAAATAGGTGTGTATGAAAGATAAACATCCCATCATTAGCTGCATCAGTTTCTTCTCCTTAAAGAGATGGCCCCACAGAAACTCCAGCAAACCACTCAGATCAAAAGAAGTAACCATATTTATTTATGGACTTTTAAAAAATCCTTTCATGCTTGATGTTTGATTTTTATGCCCTGTATAATTTATGACCTATGATACTACTTTAGAAGGTACTGGCTATATCCCAAGAGAATGTCCCATATTTCATTCTATGAAGCTCTGCCTTCATTGGACCAAGATGCAGGTACTTTAGGGCCTGTTTGCCCACAATTACAGTGGATAATTCCAGCAAACAAGATGTGGCTAAAGCCAGCTGTTCTTTTCATGTTGAGTTAATAGTGTGATTTGAATTCCATCCAAGTTTTGCAAAGTAATTTTTTCCAGTCTAATCCAACTGCCTTTCATGAATCTGTTTTAATCTGGAGATTTTTTTAGTACAATTCCTTCCTTACAAATAAGATGTGGCTGAATTTTATTAAAAGAAAAGCACATTTAAAGACTTTATTTCTTCTAATTAAGGAAGTTGAAGACATTGAACTGTGTGTCCTGATACCATTTTTTATTATAATCTCAAATCCAATCTTCAATCCAATCCAACTGAAAAGAAGCAAACAAGGTAAAATGTGTATTAGCCAGTTAGATCTAGCATAATAAATATACAAGGCCCATTACTATGTGTTGATAATATGTAAAAGAAACTGCTCATTTCCATGTTAGTCTAGAATATAGGGGTGCACCAATAGAGATTTTTGGAGCCAATACTGATAGCCAATTTTTAAGGAGGCATAGCGGCTGATACTGATCTGATTTCTGATATGCAGCCTGTCAGCTTGAAGAGCAGTGTCAGGCTGGTAAGTCTGTTGTGGCGGAAGGGGAGTGGGGGAGGAAGGGGTTGGGGGGTACAAATCAAGGCCCCCGCAGTGAGGGGGGATTGGGACTGAGGTAGAGGCTGGGGCAGGATGGAGCCGCAGCTTGTCCAGGATGCCCGGGGCTTGGGGGCTGCTCCCACCACTGTGTGTACCCCTGGAGGGTGTGTGTGTGGGGGGCGTGTGCCCCCAGATCTGTGCAGGGTGGGGCGGGCTTCCACTTCTGGCTGGGGATGGGGAAGCGCTGGGGTCTTCCTGGCAGGGGCTGGGGCAGGCTATTCTTGGGGCAGGCAGTGGCAATGGAAGGAGGGGTGGGGGAGCTATGGCAAATTTTGGCGTGGCTGCAGCCCCCCCCCCC